TAACGGGAATGGGTAATTGGGTTATTGTTCGTTGATGAACTAAATATAATTATTTATTGTGGGTTGAAAACCCTATATGCTCACCAGGCTCCCAAGCCTGACCCACTCAGTTTTTCTTTGTATTACAGGTAGTGGCACGAGAGCATAAGTTGGATGACATTGTCAAGATATTTTTGGATTATAGACCCGTAGTTATATGTAACTGTTGTAAGGTCTATTTCGTATTGTTTATGCTTTTGGTCTGTATCGGCACATGACATCCCGAGGTTTTGTTATATAATGAAAATACATTTCTTTAAGAAATGCTTTGATAAATTATTATCATATTTTGTTTTGGGAACAAATTCCGCAACTCTTTTAATCAAAGGATTACTCTGATTTTATTTAAAAGCATAAATGAAACCGGTCTTTTCTGGCCGTGATTTTGGGGATGTCACATCATAAAAGTTTAATGAAAACGCAATATGAATAAGTGTATTTATGAGACAAAATTGTGTTAAAGTAACTATCAAATGACTCTGAGCAAGAAAATAACAAGATACTCGAAAAGGTATCAAGATTTCATAGGATATATCGGTTGGTTGATGTGAAAACTGGAAGACAATCTAAAAAAGTATGTAATGAATGTTGTAATCAATCAAACAATCATAAATGAATAAGATCAAAGCAAGAACACAGTGATGTACAGGGAAAACCCTTAATCCTTTTGGATCTCTAACATAAAACCTCGGGAGGTGATAAACGCACCTGCCTTAGAACTTATATTAAATCATAAATAAAAGTTACAAGTGTTGGATTAGGTGTCTAAGCCCATAACTATAATCGGTATATACTTAAATTGATAGTAGCACAATCTTTTTGGGTTGCCCTCAAGACTAGCACCTAGGCAGGATGATATTTGGAGAGAGAGTTTTGATTTATTATTTGATTAATAAATTGAAATAAATTGCTTGTTAATATGTTATGAAAATAAGATATTAATTAGAAATAGTAATATTTAATTAATATTTAATCAGAAATTAATTGGAATTAATTTTGGGATTAAAGAAATTAATTAAAATTGCAGAGACTGAAATGTAATTGTTCAATAATTGAGTAAGAGGTATTCTAGAACCCTCTATATGGGTTGGACGGTTTCTTGAAGCCTAAGGGCTTATAGGATTGTCCTAGGTGGATAAACAGGAAAGTTGATAATCACCCAGTTTAAAATAATCTTGGATTTAGGCTTATCTAGGGTTTCCTGACTGCATTATAAATACAGCCTCAACCCTATGGATTTCGGCCACTCTTTCTTTGGAAGGCCTAACCGAATTTTATAGCCTCTCTCCTCATTCTCAATCATTTTTCTTTGCTAGTGTTGGGTGTGAACCACTAGAGGTATGACATTTGTAAGGCTTGCTCTCAAGGCTTCAACAACACAAGGATTTGCATTGTCATTACTATATAACAATCAAAGTATGATTCTTATAACTCTGTTTGTATTTTTTCGAAAATATGATAGTGTTCTAAGGTTTCTATTTTGTTGTTTAAAATTGTATGTTCAATTAGAGAAAACATAGATCGATTATTTAGGGTTGCATGCACACATAAGATTTATCTGTTTTGCATTATACCTATTAGTGGTATCAGAGTGTAGGTTAGTTGAGCTTGATCTTCTTCCTTCCTCTTCAAATCACACAAACATACTCTTAATGCTTGAAATGTCCTCACAAGGTGCTTATAGGGTTTCAAATCACGAAGAGAGGGTAGAGACTGGTTAGATGAAGAGAAATGAGGCCATAAAGATGCTTAAATACCACCCAAACCCTAAAGTTTAGGGTTTCCTCCAGACAATAGTACGCCCAGCGTACTAGGGCGTGCCCTAGTATGCTCAGCGTACCCTCATGTACGCTTAGCGTACTCCTCCTTCCCAAAATTACCATATTGCCACTAGGGCTTCAAAGCACAATCTCTTGGACTTAGGGACCAAAATGTCATCAAATTAACTTAAGGGATAACTTTTGAAATACCTAAACATTGGGATGTTACAATCTAATTTATGTTATTGTATATGTTATTCACTAAGTCGTGATGCTTACGTTGTTGTGATGATTATTTTGCAAGTAGATTATTATGGCATCCGACTCGGTCTAGTAATTGAGGCCAATACGATCCTCGGTGATAACTTTTAGTATTCTAGAGTGCCAGTGTACACCAAACTATTTGAAAAATTATTAATGAGAAATGTATTTTTGGGTTGTACTTGGTATAAAAATTTGGGCATTACATAAAATAGCTAGAAAAAAGAATTTGAGAGAGTGAGATAAGCAATTTATTAAATTATTAAAAGTTAATAAATTAATTAGAAACTAGTGAAAATAAATTAGAACTAATTTGGAATTAATTATAATTAATCTGGATTTATTTAAAGAAGGTATATGGAATAAATGTTGAATGTTAAATTGTTGAGTAATGAGAACATTCTGGAACCTCATATGGAGTTGTAACATCCCGAAATGAGGTATAAATTATCATTCATTAACCTTTCTTAAATATGTCAAAATTAGTCCTTAAATGGTGAAAGGTGACAAGTGAGTACGCGGAGCGTACGCATGAGTACTAGGCTCAGTTTGCAAACCCTAATATTTATTATGTACCTATTTAAGGAACATGATGGCCTCATTTCTAGCCACCTTTATCAGCCTCCAACCTTTCCTAAACCCTAAATCTCGAGTGTGTGCTTGTGGGTGTGATTTTGCAAGCTTAAAGTGATTCTTGGCTCTTATAGTTAAAGAGTGAAGTTGGAAGAAGAAGAAGAAGGTGCCATCCATCTTAGAGATCCAGAAACCACCCATCTTTGTGCATCATTTCCAGGTATAAAGCTTGTACCTTGGCTATTGTTCTTCAAGATCTTTCTAGTGTTAGGTTTATGAGTTTAAGTCCCCAAGGTTTGGATCTTTTCGAGTTCAGACTCTTCAGAGAGTTTAAGCTTTCCTTTTATGCATTTTTGGACTTCTAGATCAATAAAAATGGTTGCTTGATCCTTCCTTTGACCCCATGCATGAGTAACGTACCTTGGAATGGATAAAATGATGTTCTAGCCTCTCCTAGCCATGCAAAGGCTTAAAGCCCATGACTTTATGGATTAAGAGACCTTGATTTACTCAGATCTATAGTTGGAGTGTTTGTCTTAATGGATTAAGACCAAAAGAAGTAAGAAATGAGAGTCCGAGGAGTACGCCGTGTGTACTCCCAGCTATGCGCAACGTAGGTCTGAGATCCCTCGTCGCATGCATAGCCACCGGTCCGCCCAACGTAGGGAGTTGTACACCTAGTGTACTCGCTGGGTGTTGACTTTGGGTTGACTTTTGCTGATTTTGACTTTTAGGTCAAAATTTAGGGTTTGGACCTAGGGAGGGGCAAAATGGTCCTTTTTTCCCTTAGTGGGCTTAGTTGTGGACTTGGACTCGTGAGGTAGTAATGGGCCTTAATTATTAATTAATGGTAATTTATTTGGTTGAATAGGCGGAGTCTAGATTCGACAGTTCGGGTGCTAGGTTTTCGTGTCATCAGTATCAAGTGAGTCTCCTCACTTACTCTTACCTGTGTGGTAGGATAGCTGTAATATTATGACCAGCTGGGTGTAGCTGTTATGTTATGCTATGCTATGCTATGTTTTGTGTTGATATGATATTTGTTTAGTTGGGGCTACTGTTAGCCAACCGGGGGTTGCGGATAACCTCCCGAGCATGTTGTTAGCTCATCGGGACTGCTGATGGTCCCAAGGTTGTAGATAACCCATAACTGTTTATTTATGCTGAGTTATATGTGGTATCTTGGGGAACTCACTAAGCTTTGTGCTTATAGTTGTTGATTTATATGTGGCAGGTACTTCGTAGGACCGAGGGAAGGCGAAGCTCTGATTGTACACATGCACTGGGAAATTTACTACTGGGACATGATCTGTTATGTACTATGATAATTAAGACACTTGTGGTTTGGGATGAATTGTACTTGATATTTGGTTCTGAAACTATGTTTTTGGAAGTTTTAAAAATTAAAATTCTGGTCTAAAATTTGAGGTGTTACAGGAGTTGATAGTTTTGAGAGGTTCCAGAAAGGTTATGGAATTATGTCTGGTAACAGATAATGAAAAGATTAAAATCAGAATTAAGTCTGAATATTTAATTGATCCAAATCAACTTTATTTACAAGTTACCACAACTATATAAAGACCCCTCTAGGCCTTCATAAAATCGATTCAACCTCTTCGAAGGCTGAGATTTTTAGATTTCATACTCTCTCTCTCTCTCTCTCTCTCTCCCCCTCCTCTATTTTCTAGGGTTTTAATCTTTTGGGCGTGAACCATTAGAGGCATTCCTACTTTAGATGCTAGATCTTCCAAGAGCAACAAAGGAATTCAAAGTCTTCAAATGTTCAGGAGACATAACCGATTTGTCATAAGGTTAGTAGTTTTATCCATCTTGTAGCTTTAAGTTCATAGTTTTGACAGTACGTTGCTATAATAGTAAAACCTAGATCTAGGGTGCATGTACACTTAGGGTTTTATTGAATGCTTTGTTGCCTAAATTTCGTGTATAGATGTCTAGAAAACCCTTCAATGATACACATAAAATATTAGACGCACATAATTAATTTTTAAACATAATGTTTGGATGTTTTTTGTACAATATTTAGCCTACACATTACATGATCATATTATTTTTTAATCGGGTAAACGTAATTTCAATTCTATTTAACTAATTCTCATAAGTATCAAATATAAACAAAAAAACTCTATTTAGTTGTAATTGTTTAATATTAAATAACATGTATTGATACTTTAATAGTTTTAGTATTAGTCCAAAAACTATGTAACGGCGTAAATTTTAAAACAATTTTTCATTTTTCAAACATAATAAAACTCATATAATATTCTCAAAATCTCATGTATCAATGTCATCACAATAAAACATATCCCATAATTTCAACACATAATCTTCTGCCAGTGTGTACAAATCATGTCGGCGCCTTCCCGCGACCCTCGCTGGTACCTGAAACACATATCACATAACACGGTAAGCATAAATGCTTAGTGAGTTCCCCAAAATACCACACACAACACATAAGCCACTCGAGGCTATAACTCGGTATGACCCTCCGGTCAATGTGTCTCAGCGGGACCCTCCAGTCCCGTAGCTCGTTGGACCCTCCAGTCCGGTCTAGCTCGTTGGACCCTCCGGTCCGGTCTAAATTGTTGGACCCTCTGGTCCGGTCTAAATCGTTGGACCCTCCGGTCCGGTCTATATAACACATAACATACATATATCACAGTGTACATAAACTCAAACATACACATAACACATAAGACCCTCCGGTCTGCACATAGTTACCACTCTAGGTAATGTATAGTGAGAAGACTCACCTCGATGATGTCTAGTAAACTCTCGTGCTCGATATCCCCGATCTAGCCTCCGCCTATCAAAAATGATAATATCTCTAATCAATACTCTCTTTATATCCTCATCTCTAAAGAATGGGTAGAAGACCATTCTACCCCTCCATAGCCTTTCTTGAATCAGTTTGACCAAACCCTAAGGTCAACCGAAATCAACTCCAGTCAACGGTCTAACTTTGACCAGACTCGCCGAGTCCATGCGTGTCCTCAGACTCCTCCTAAGGCCCCACTCGACTCGTCGAGTTAACCTCTCACTCGACGGGTTTCCACTGATCACGAATCGCGGGGCAACACGATCCGACTCGTCGAGTCCTCTCATGGACTCGACGAGTTTCCTCCATGGCAACACTCATTTGACCTTCTGAGGTCATATCTGTTTCTCTGACTTATAGATCTGGCCTTCTAGCACCCAAAAGTCACGTAAAGGTCTGATCTTGATGTCCATGCATGACATATTTCGCTCAATATGCCATTTAGACTCCATTAAAGCCTCCTAACCTCCAAACCCCATGGTTGCACAACAATGGCTTTCTACTTTCTGACTTTCTGGACCTTACAAGGTCCAGATCTATGCTACCAGCTCACAAGAGGGGTTTGATGCAATCAAAACCCCACCAAGAAGATAATACAAGCCCTAATCCTCAAAAGGAAGATCTACACAATTAGGGAAGAAAAGGGGTCCGAATTGATACCTCCAACTGATGCTCCTAGGTTGTAAATCGCGGATCTACAACCTCCTCTGGCCCCTTTAGCTTGAAACCTCCTTCTTCCTTGCAAACCATCCACCAAGAAGCTTAAAATGGCTCTCTCTCTTGCTCAAAACACTAAGGACTCGTTTAGGGTTCTTTCTTCTGAAAGGTAGCCGTAATAGGAGGCCTTAAGAGCCTTTAAATAGGCCCAGGCCCGAGAGAATTAGGGTTTCTGTCAACAGCGCTGACTCGGCGAGTCATCTCTCCGACTCGTCGAGTCCATTCATTAACCACGTCACCAAGTCGCGACCCTACTCGACGAGTTGAGGCACCGACTCGTCGAGTCCCTCCAAAGTCCTTGAATTAAATACTCGAAACAATATACCTGGTAAACCGGATGTTACAAACTATTTTGTAAATAGTTAAAAGTTATAAGTTGTAATGTTAAATGTAAAACCTAAATTGTAATCCTAAATTAATTTAATTTTTTTCTAAAACTATTTACATAATAAATTTAATTGAATTCTGTGCAACATACGAACATTCACATAGTTTCAACTAAAAGTATAAATGCATATTTTAGGGATAATTTTTTAGAACGGCGAATTACTATGAGCATGTTCGGCACGCAACGTTTGAGAGCTTTTGACTTCTAGATTTTAAGAAAACGCAAGTAAAAAAGAAAAAGTCTCGTTCAGCGACATGAGCGTTTAGCTTTTATCTTAAACAAAACGCTCCAAAATCAAAAGCTACATGAAGTAGCTTTCAACAAAACGCTCCAAAATCAAACGGTACCCGCTACCAATTACTTGCTACCAACTAGTTTTGCCGAACACGTCCTATATGTTTAAGATTCAACTCATGAACTCCTTGTTAGAAACATATTGTTAGACAAAGAGCGTGTTGGCACGGAACGTTTGGGAGCGTTTGAGAGCTTCTAGTTTCTAGCGTTTGACAAAACGCTCCGTTTTGAACAGAAAACTTTGTTTGACACTACAAGCTTCTAGCGTTTAGTTTAAACAAAACGCTCTAAATCCAAATGCTACTTCATGTAGCGTTTATCAAACCGCTACAAGCTACAAACTACCCACTACCAGCTAATTTTACCGAGCAGGGGCTAACTCCAACTTATTTAGATACAATTTTTGTAGTTTACCTTATTTTTAAGCAATGATAATTAGTCAACCATCTTGAGAAAATAATTCCCCTTCTAATAATGTATAAGGTATGGAAACCAATTATATTTGCCCTATTTCATCAAATATTGTAGCGACTCAAAAGAAAGAGACAGAGTTGATCTCTCTCTCACACTGATCTCGATCGTCAGGTAAGGTCTCTCTCTATTAATGAATTTATGTATCGATTTCTATCTGGATTTTGCTTTCTATATGATTTGTCGATCTTTTATGCTCCGAAAAACCCCAAAATGTTGTCGGTTTTTGTTTTCTGTTGTGAAGTACTTTAATTGATGATCAGATGAAGCAAATAGTAGAGTAGCATTGTTGTAATGATCGAACAGGTGGTTTGTAAGTTTCATATGTTGATGTTTTCTTGCTGGTTTGCTTTTATATACGTTACGACCAAGTCTTCGTTCATATCCAATACGCTCATAAAACAAAATTGAGCGACTTGACTCTACTCTACTCGTGTGTTAACGTTTCCAGTCTTCATTCATACGCAAGGTCTGCTGCTAGAAGAGGGAGAGAGGGAGAACGGGAGCAATTGAATTTTCACAGAAGTCTTGTCTTAACGGCTCTTGCCATAACCCCAGCAAAAGAAGGTAATTGGACATTAAGCGTTTGTTTGCACATCGCCTGCCTTTATATTTTTGTCAGTTGCATTTTTCTTGATATGAATCTTAATTGTTTGTGATTGGATGAGGTGTTTTTATTCAATTCGTCATCTTTATGTTTGCGATCCTCATGTGTTCGGTTTTGAAATTCACTAATGTCCAAATTTTTTTGTCCAAATTTTTTTATCTCTGTGGCCATCGATTATAAGAAATTTAATGTATATATGGATTTCTGGTCTTGGAACGTATCTAGATCCCATTTTCGTTGGATAATTATTTCTTAATTTGTTTTTTGTGATATATTGGTAATTGGTGATCTTACCTGATCATGATTGCGATTGATACTCATGAAGTGTTAGTGATTTGAGCTTGCAATTTGCCTATTCGGACATTACTGTTAGTCACATAAACCTCTGTATAACCAACCTTGGTTCATTCCCTAACACTGCAGTCATGGCTTTTTTTTTCTTTCTATTTCTTGATACTTGCAACATGATGTCTTGTCTATTTTGACATGCTTAACAGGTGTAGTTGATCATTTTGAAGGCCTGGAATGAGTGTATGATATGATATATATGTCTCTGTGAGGACAAACCATTTTCTGCTGCTGGATTTTGAGGGAAGAAAGGTTCTTGACCAGCTGCCCTTTAAGTTTTGATCTCTACTGTCGACTTGGAACATTTAAACAGAGACAGCAAACAAGGCTAAACCTTTCCCTATACCTCAGACATTAATTTCCTTCTGTTCAGTTGCAATGGATGATGCCATGGAGACTGGTAATTTGGCTCCTTACCAAGAGAGACCTAGGACTTTTCCAAACATGCGTAGTAAACCTAGCACACCACTGGTAATAGTTATCTTCTGTCATCTGTTAGTTTTTTCATAAACTTCTTTACATTTTTTTATCATCTTTTATATCATGCAAAAGTGTTTTTCAGCTTCCTCCTTTGGTTCTTTTTTGTTTTATGTTGCTTCATTTGATTTCCTATATGCAGGTATTTCGAATTCTCATGACAATGAATGTCCGTCTACTTTTTGTGCTTATGTTTGTGGTATTTGGAGGAATTTTTTACATTGGAGCTAGCACCTCACCAATCATTGTGTTTGTGTTCTCAATATGCATTGTGAGTTTCATCTTATCAATATATCTCACTAAGTGGGTACTTGCAAAAGATGAAGGCCCCCCTGAGATGGCTCAGATATCAGATGCAATACGTGATGGAGCAGAGGGTTTTTTTAAGACCCAGTATGGGACAATCTCTAAAATGGCATTATTTTTAGCAGTGGTGATATTTGGTATATATATGTTTCGCACTACAACCCCTCAACAAGAAGCTTCAGGCATAGGGAGGTGAGAATGGCAATGGATGTGTATAACTGTATATTTCTTTGATGATTATCTTTTCATGTCTGAAGTTGTTGACAAAAATGGAAATATGTTCCTGTGTGATGCTTGTGCAGGTTAACTTCTGCGTCCATCACTGTCTTTTCTTTTCTTTTAGGAGCTGTATGCTCTGGTATGGCTGGTTATGTTGGCATGTGGGTTTCTGTACGTGCTAATGTTCGTGTTTCAAGTGCTGCAAGAAGGTCTGCAAGAGAGGCTTTACAGGTTTCTTTCTTTCTGTTCCATTTTTCTTTATTCTTACATAATTGGTTTCTAAGCATCTTGCTGAGCTGGCAGTTTTTTTTTTTTTTTTTTTTTTTGTTTAGATAGCGGTTCGTGCTGGTGGTTTCTCTGCCTTGGTGGTGGTTGGTATGGCTGTGATTGGTGTTGCAATCCTGTATGCCACATTCTATGTTTGGTTGGGTGTGGACACACCAGGGTCGATGAAGGTTACTGACTGTGAGTGTCCATTTAGTAATATTATCATTTCAAAATGAAAAAAAAAAATAAAAAATCCGTTTTCATGTTATGTCATATATTATCATGTATCTTCAGTGCCTCTTCTTCTTGTGGGATATGGTTTTGGAGCTTCGTTTGTAGCCCTTTTTGCTCAATTGGGTGGTGGAATATTTACAAAAGCTGCTGATGTTGGTGCTGACCTTGTTGGAAAAGTAGAACAGGGAATACCTGAAGATGATCCCAGGAATCCAGCTGTCATTGCTGACCTGGTATATTATTTGTTTTTCTTCTTCATTATGTTGACTTTGTTGACCTAGTATATTAAACTAAATTTTAATTTTGTGATACAAGGTTGGAGATAATGTCGGTGATTGTGCAGCAAGAGGAGCTGATTTATTCGAGAGCATAGCTGCTGAAATAATTAGTGCTATGATACTTGGAGGAACCATGGCTCAAAAATGCAAAATCGAAGGTAATCATTTCGTTCTATTCGTTTCAGAAAGTTTCTCTTGTAATTTTCGTCCTTATTTGAGTTTTTTGTAACATTTTTGTCCCTGTTCCAAGTAAGATGATGATATTATTAGGATCAAAATTGCAAAAATCAGTTATAAACAGGGACCAAAAATCATTTTTACTTGGAAAACAAAAATGATACAAGAACGTCAAACAAGGACCAAAATTGAAAAAACCAGCTATACACAGGGACCAAAACTGTAAATTACATTTTTGGTCCCTGAATATAGCCGATTTTATCAATTTTGGTCCCAAATCTTGCAATTTCGGTTCTTATTTGAGATTCTTGTGACATTTCCATTTCTCTTCTAAGTAAAGACTACTTTTGGTCAGAGTACAGCCGAATCTTGCAATTTTGGTCCCGAAAAGATTAATCATTTTACTCTGAACAGGGGCAAAAAAAACGTTACAAGAACCTCAAATAAATTTACATATTTGGTCCCTTAGTATATCTGATTTTTTTGCAATTGTGGTCCTTATTTGAGGTTCTTGTAATGTTGTTTCCCCTGTTCAGAGTAAAATGACTATTTTTGGTCCGAGTATAGCTGATTTTCACAGTTATGGTCCAAAAAATAATCATTTTACTCGGAACAAGGAACAAAAACCTCAAAATAAGTAGTACCAAGATTGCAAAAAACAAATCAGCTATACTCAGGGAGCAAAAATGTAATGTGACATACTAAATTTGATCTCCATTACTACATGCAGATCCATCTGGATTCATCTTATTCCCTTTGGTTATCCATTCGTTCGATCTCATAATCTCATCAGTGGGGATCTTTTCAATCCGTGCCACACGTGATCCTGGAGCAATGGGAGGTATGGAGGATCCCATGACAATACTTCAAAAAGGATATTCCATCACAATAGTTTTAGCAGTTATCACTTTTGGTTTCACAACACGTTGGATGCTGTACACAGAACAGGCTCCTTCTGCTTGGTTTAATTTTGCTCTATGTGGATTAGTTGGAATCACAACTGCTTACCTTTTTGTCTGGATCACTCAGTATTACACAGACTATAAGCATGAGCCTGTAAGGAGATTAGCTCTTTCAAGTTCAACGGGCCATGGGACTAATATTATTGCTGGGATTAGTTTGGGTTTGGAATCTACTGCTCTTCCTGTTCTTGTGATTAGTGTGGCTATTGTTTCTGCTTTTTGGTTGGGGAATACTTCAGGGTTGGTTGATGAGGCTGGGAATCCAACTGGTGGATTGTTTGGGACAGCTGTTGCCACAATGGGAATGCTTAGTACTGCAGCTTATGTTTTGACTATGGATATGTTTGGGCCTATTGCGGATAATGCTGGTGGGATTGTTGAGATGAGTCAGCAGGTAAAAATGCCAAAATACTTTTTATTTTTTATTTTTTCAGTAATTAGTATAATAGCATCTTGTTTGCAATAGTAGAACAAATAAATGAAACTAGGTTGGTATTTAATATAAGGTTTGGGTATTTATTTGTGATTTGCAGCCTGAAAGCGTTCGAGAGATCACTGATATTTTGGATGCAGCTGGGAACACCACAAAAGCAACCACAAAAGGGTTTGCCATTGGATCCGCTGCACTTGCATCTTTTCTTTTGTTCAGTGCGTATATGGATGAGGTGGCATCATTTGCTCGGGTCCCATTCGCACAGGTAGAAAAATCTTTTCATGCTGCTTTAACTTCAAAATCCTATCTTAATATATGTAATTATAATATGAGGTTGGTTTGTTACAGGTTGACATTGCTATTCCAGAAGTATTTGTGGGTGGGTTACTGGGGTCCATGCTTATCTTCCTTTTCAGTGCATGGGCCTGTGCTGCAGTCGGTAGAACTGCCCAGGAGGTTGTCAATGAAGTAAGAAGACAGTTTATTGAGAGGCCAGGCATCATGGTAGGTCCCATTCCCATTTCTCTTAACCTCCTATGATGATGATGATGTTATGTTATGTTTTGGGGTGATATAATTTGATAGGAGTACAAGGACAAACCGGATTACGGGAGATGTGTTGCAATTGTGGCTGCTGCATCTCTGAGAGAGATGATAAAGCCTGGAGCCTTAGCGGTTGTATCACCTATATTTATTGGTGTGTTGTAACTTGTATATTTATTTTATATATAAACTATTATACAAATATATATATATATATATATATATATATATCTCCTCTGACTTTTTATTTTTTATGAAGGGATTGTGTTTCGGATATTGGGTTACTATACAGGGCACCCGTTACTAGGGGCAAAAGTAGTGGCATCCATGTTAATGTTTGCGACAGTTTCTGGTATTCTAATGGCTCTGTTCTTCAACACTGCTGGTGGTGCATGGGATAATGCTAAAAAATACATAGAAACTGGTGCACTTGGAGGAAAAGGAAGTGAAAGCCATAAAGCAGCAGTTACTGGTGATACGTGAGTGACAATAAATCCCCTTAATTTTAAACATCCAATCTTCTGTTTTTGCTCCTTACGTATTTGTGATATTACTTGATGCTTATACAGGGTAGGTGACCCGTTCAAAGACACAGCTGGGCCTTCACTTCATGTGCTTATAAAGATGCTTGCAACAATAACACTGGTCATGGCTCCAGTCTTTCTGTGATGCATAATATCGAATGAAGCATAATATTGCATATTGCATGCACATACAGTAGGAAGGGAGGGAGGGAGGGAGGAATCTAATTGAGTTACTTACTATATAATTACCGATTTTGTGTCAACTTGGAAGCCAGATACATGTGAAAGACTGCTGGTTGGCATAATATGAAAGAATTACTGCCGTTTTTTTTTTCTTTTTTCAGAGAACTTTGAGTGAACCTGTATTCGGTTAAGGGTTTAGTTACATCTTCCATCTAATTGCTTCTTGTAGTTTAACTATTACTTTATGGGGGGTTATTACATTATTTTTATGGAAGAGATCGACTTTTTACTAACCTGATGTGTTCTTTTATTTTGACTTAATGGGTTCAGCTCTTAATATGGACACATATGTCTGTTTCTTTTTACTTAATGCATAAATCGGTCTCAATTCATTAAGCCCAAAACGTTGGCTTAATACGTATGGACCCAAATCTTTACCATATCATTTAATGGGTTTTCTCCTTGTTCATATTTCTGATTTTATGGGTTTTCTCCTTTGTATATACAACGTTTTATGCAAACATATATTATTACCCGTTCAACCATTTTATTTATAATGATTTAATGGGAAAAAAGAAATACACTAAGATATTAATTGCACTTTTGAGCTACATAAACAAATTATTATTATTTTTTTTCAAACTATCCATTTTTACAAGAAATTGCATTTTTTGCAGTTTTCTCAAGATAAAATATTATATGTCCAACTGAATTTATTAAAAGATAATTTTTTTTGATGCTAACGGTTATGAAAACCCAATTTATTTATTAAAAAGAATTTGTTCTGTTGGTTATAGCAGAACATAAGTAGCCAGCAACGAAGGAAAAAAAAAAAAAAACTAAGCGATAAAGCTCAATGGTAATGGTGGTGTGTAGCAGCTGTATGTTACGGCCGTTCCAATCGCCGGTGGTCTCCTTAGCAGCGACAGAATCACCATCGTCATCGTCTTCGTCTTCGTCTTCGTCGTCTTCATCTTCATTATTTAAGAACATCAGGCATAAGCATAAGCCTGGATTTCATCGTCCTAAATCTCAACCACTGGTCATCGAAACTACGCTTGCCGAGACTTCCAAGGAGGATTCTAGTGTTCCATCTCGACGCTTGATTCTGCTTCGTCATGCAAAAAGCTCATGGGAGGATCGCTCACTTAAAGGTACTAATACAAATAACAATTTTGCCCTAGTTATTCTGATGCAACTACAAAGTTTTTGCAACGATAACCGCACACAAGTTTCAATTCGTGGTTTCAAATTTCCCAACCTTATGTCATTACTCCATATAATCCGCGGAAATTTTGCAAAAAGCTCTCTACAAAATGTTTTACTTGATGACATAATCATAATTGATTAGTTATCAGTGTTGAACTTCAATATTAATCGGACTCATGGTGAATGAAGAATCTTACTATTAGGTAATTCGAAAAGCTGAGTGTTACAATGTTCTATGAAATTCAAATGCATCTGCAGATGTAAAGTACAACCATTCAAATGCATAACCTCTAGCTAGCATTAGCCTTTCTAGCCACTATTATCTGTATTCTCTTAGTTTTGTTTCTTTTCTTACCCTTCATAGACCATGATCGACCTCTGAAGAAAGCTGGAGAAGCTGATGCTATACAAGTCGCTTACAAGCTCCAACAGTTGGGTTGGATTCCTGAGCTTATTTTATCAAGGTAATAATTATCTTCTTTACATGTTCACATACTATTTTGATATTGAAAGTGTCGCTGTTGTTGATGCAGTGATGCAACAAGAACAAGACAAACTCTTAAAATCATGCAGGAGCATGTAGGGGCATTCTTGGAAGCTGAGATACATTTCATCTCAAGCTTTTATTCTATTGCAGCAATGGATGGGCAGACAACTGATCATCTTCAACAAGCAATCTGTAAATATGCCAGAGATGAGATACTTACAGTTATGTGAGTTCTGGTGACTGTAACAGCTTATTTGGCCTTCAATGTGTTTGCATTTAAGTATTAGGAATCTTTAATTGAATTAATAATTATATAGTGAATTAATTGATTAAGATGTTATGTTGGAATTTCAATTTTCAGGTGTATGGGACATAATAGAGGGTGGGAGGAGGCAGCCTCCACTTTATCTGGGGCCTCCATACAACTCAAGACTTGTAATGCTGCGTTGCTTCAAGCTGCTGGAAAATCATGGGAAGAGGTGCTTACACTTTTCATCTTTTACTATGGGAAAATTACATAAAAGCCACTGTATTCTGGTCATCTTTGTGGTTTAACCACTATATTTCAGTTTTGTTAGAAAATTTTGTCAAAGTTGTCATTGATGAAACTGAAATATAGTGGTTAAACCATAAAATAGTCAAAATATGGTGGCTTTTATATTATATAATTTGCCCATTTACTATCTTTGTTTTTAGTTATTTTGTTATATATTTGTTTATTGTGAGTGATTACAAAGTTGTAAATTGTAGGCATTTCTTTTGGCGGGACATGGTGGGTGGAAACTACAACAATTAGTGAAGCCAAATGGTGGCCCTTAGATATAGAATGACTCTGTTATGATGATAGTCTTGTGTTTTTCTTTTTTAATATTTTCTAAGAACGTATATAAATTTAGAATAAATCAAAAAATTTAATTAAAAAGCAAAACGTCCAACTCATAATTAGTGTACACATGGACAAATATATGGTGGAGGATAGAGCTAAAATCTCCCAATTGTGTGTTATGTCATCATCATACAACTGGTTTTGTGGGTTGTATAGTTTAAATTGATAATAGAAGGCAAGTTTAATATTGTATTTGATAAAAAGTTTAATTGTATGAAAGATATTATATATTTTTTTTATTTTTCCAGTTTAAACTTATTTTTTTTTAATACAAAAAGATCTTTACACATTTCTTTTGGGTTTGGCTCTTTTTTACCGGCAATCTTTCGGTCTAGAAAAAAAACCGAAAAAACATTAATTTTTTTTTTCCGAAATAACCCATATATTTTGACAATATTTTCTTGTTTGTAAAACCATTTCATTTTAGCTCAAGATTCCATTTTTTTTAATAAATATTGTTTATGGTAATCTTGATGGTTTTCAACATTAAAATCCAAAAGAAACATTTGATTTGTTTTTTGAAATAAAAAGAAAAGAAACATTTGATTTGTTTTCTGAAATAAAAAGAAAGTTGTGTATAGATCTTGTTGAAAAATACTTATTAAAATCTATTTATAAGATGTTTTGAGATAGTAGCAGTGAAAAACAACGATATAGACTGACTTGATATTTTATATTATTTTCAGAAGCAAATAGATAAATAGCTTTCAAACTTTATTTTATGTTTGAAATCTAATTTCAATTTTCATGTTTAATCTCTTAAAACATTTTCAATCTTAGAATTGTTTTGATACACAATAATCTTATTAAATTTCTTTGAGACTCATTTTCCCATTAATAATAGCATAGTCATTTTTTTTGCATTGCATTATTATTCAATTTCAAATAAACATACGCAAAACCTTTTGTTTGCTAATAGAAGGTTCTACTCCTATGTTGAAGTTGAACAATGATATGGCCACTGTATGGGCTAAAAATAATTAAGTTATCTTTTCCAAAACATTTACTAATTTCAGAATTATTGGAGAATTTAAGCCCCAAAACTTATAGTATCACAATTATTGTTGAAAAGTTAAGGATGTATAGTTGGATCATAACATAAAGGCAAAGGTGAACCACTACATCATTAGTGACCTAAAATATCCAAGCTAACTCCTTTAGGTATGCTTCATTCTTCTAGTCTAAGTAAACCTAGGCTTTTGTCTTGGATCTGATAATGGAAATAATCCAAATGCCAAATTCTAACCCTCAAAATATTTTTAAAATAATTATATATTTGTAAGACATGTGGGGATAAAAAACATTGGAAATAACCAATTCAAAATCAAGCAAGTATGTAATGCACATGCTTCTAAATTCCCAACTCGAATCCTCTTACACTCAAAACAAGTCCCTTGCATTGGTGGTTCAATGACATAAACAAGGTAGTGACATTGTACCCAAAACCAGTTTAGAGGCCTAGTAATAAATATCAACATTTTGGAGACATGTGCCACCCACATGAAACCATAGAATGTGTTTACAAAGTCTATCCATTAATTAGTATCGACTTATGCAGTAATCAATACCGAAAATAAGATTTAATCCCAAGTTTTTGGGAAAGACTCAAGTCAAACCATCCTAAGTGATATACATATATAGGATGCTTAACAACATTTCAATCAATATGATATTTCCCCCAAATGAAAATACATTGAAAATATGTTTTGTGGATGCACCAACATACATATAGTAGCCACATAACAAGCAAGAACACCATAATATAGATTAAGTCAAAAAATATCAAAAAGTAGTGATATGAACATATATTTTTGGTATTTATTCAGCTCAATTGATTGACAAACCTTCTCTCTTATTCCAAGACTATGGAGTTTCTTTAATCATCACTTATTGAAATTTTTTACATGATTACAAAATGATCAAAATATCCATATGAAGGTCTTCAACTTCCTTAAACTCATTTAATGCTTAAGACCATTGTTTCAACTCTATAAGAAAGTTATGGAGGTAAATAGAGCTCAAATGCTTTAAGAAAAAAAAAACAAAACAAAAACTTGTTTTGGAAGTGGCACGCCATTATACAACCCGTGTAACAATAGCCTTGAGAATTACACGAACATGTAATATGCATGGCTAACGCATACAAAACTTTCTTCCACTTTGAGCATTATACTATGATCCAAATGACTTTTAATCCTCAAACAAGATCTTAATTAACCTCACAAAGGTTCTAAAACCTAGAGACTTATTAAACTACTTTAACACATCTTATTTAATGATGAGTTTTCTAGGTTATAAAAATTCATGTGGTAGAAAAAACACTTAAACCCTTAAGTTCACATGCAACCTAGAAATGATCTATGTTTTCTCTATTGATACCAACAAACAATGAATATCAAGAAACCCCTAGAGAGAGGCTATAAAATCTAAATTCACACAAAGAATAGGGTTACATACCTTTTGATTAATATAACAATCAATCAACAAAATCTTCCTTTGAGTTCCTTGGAAAGCAAGCACCAAAAGCTTGGATGCCTCTACTGGCTTGTACCCAAAACCCTAATAACTATAAGACTTGAGGAGAGGGGAAGCAAGAGCAAAATTTCGGCTCTATGAAGGTGTATAGGAGTGGATGAAATAAGGCTCCCAAGGGGCCCTATTTATTAGATGTAGGATAACCCTAGAAACCCTAATCTTGAATTAAATAATAATATTTCAAATTCAAGATAATTATCTAGTATCCTTATCACCAAGAGGCTTCCAGAAACCCTAATTGGGTTCCTCCAAAACTGTACTACCTATGGGGAAGGTTCTGGAAGCCTTCCTTTGTTCAACTTTTGAACAATGACAACCTTAGTCCCTGCACTTTTAATTAATTCAATCAATCCCATAATTAATTCCAATTAAATTCCGATTAATTCCAAATTAATTATTAATATTTCTAATTGGTATATTAATCATATAATATATTAATAAATCATTTGTTACAAAACTCTTTACCCCTTCTATAAAAATCAAATAGATAAGGTTTTAAAGAATGAAATGGAGAATATGTATTATTATCTAGACTCTTATTGAATATGTATTCATATCAATTAATTGCTCATATCAATTAATTGGTAGAATAGAAACTCATACAAATTAATTATGTGTCAGGAACTAGATTTGAATTGGTGACACAAGGATTTTCAGCCCTCTGCACTACCAACTGAGCTATCCCTTATTAATCGTATAATAAATTAACAAATCAGTCTTTCTCTCCAAAAATCATTCTATTCAGTTATTGGTTACGATGGCAACCTAAAAATGATTTTGCTTCTAACCCAAGAATATACCAATTTAGTTATTGGTTTAGACAACTTAATCCAACAACTACTTCATAACTTGATGACTTAAACGAGTTAATGTCTTAGAAGCTTAAATAAGCACACCCAAGGTATCAACCTTCCTAAGTTAAACCATGAACTTCATTTGATTTAATAAATCATCCATATTGTTCCTAAATGGCTTCTTTGAATCAAATGACATTCTAAATATGTTACTATTCTTTTGAAAACATTACACAATGATTTATGGATCAAGTGTGTGATCCAAAGTTTTGAACAATAAAATTCCATTAAATCCCATAAAAATCAAATAAGCTTTAAATTCTCACCAATGCTTTACTAAACATAGATCATCGACAATTATGTTTCAATCCGACTTAATGAATCAAACTCATGACATTTCAAAGAGCTTTAGTAAACCAAGAGCTAGTTTATGGATATAAAAAACGTAATTTAAATTTTCAAAAACAGGTTCAAAATCTCAAATTTCAAGAAAAAAAAATATATTTTAATCAGTATCTAACAAAAGTTAAAAACAATAGCAAAATGAAGTAGACAACGATCCAAGGCATAAAAGATGTCATTCAGTTGAAAAAAATGATGATATTTATATTTCTATTTGAGAGTAAGAATACTTTTTTTGAAAAATATTTAATGCAAATTACAAAATATTCATTATACATTAAAAATATATCATTGAAATCCAAAATACCTATTTCAGAATTGATATTCACTTTCATAAATGGATAAAAATTGATTTACCTTTCTGTATTTTTATCATCATATAGTCAAATAGTCATGTTTGTCATTATCCAAAAAAATAAATTTTAAACCAAAAATATGAAAAGTAATGAATGAAATAAATCTGTATTGTACTTTTGTAGTTTACTCTTTTGAGTTTCTGGATAATTGAGTTGGCATAACTTTAATGAAATTACTTACTTATAACAGAACATGGGCCACATGGTCGTATTTCCCTTCCCAAATTAACAGTCCAATGGTCATTCTTGCTGTACTTCCACAATCGGATTACTCATCGTCTACCCCTCGCTCACCCACAAAATCCTTCATTACAGACGTTTGCACCAGAAATTGTGTCACTCATCTTCAAATACTACGCCCAAATGATCCCTAGATACACACGCATCTGAGTTCCTGCTAGGTTTCGTGGTGGGTCAAAGGGAGCATTCGTCCTCCGCCCTTGTTCATTGGGCGGAGTGGTTCTATACTACTCTCCGCCTTAACTTTCCGACGATATGATTGATCAGTTCATCAATTTTGTCATTCGACCTCCCAGGTATGGATACGCTTTCCGTTTTGACTCATGATTATGGTTTACTTTATTGTAAGAACTTTGTTCCACATCTTTTTGGAAGCATATTAGGTATCGATAATTATTTGCCAAACATAGCATAGGATATGTAAAACGGATTGGAATACTTCACTATGTGTAGCTTCGTATCCATGACATTGCAGATCTGTTCTTGGGAGTTTCTTTTATCATCTTATGAACTCCCCAAACTAGCCCAAAGCCCTTCATAAGCAACTCTTTATGGTCATTCCTTCATTTCCTTGTGAAAGCCTTAATAGCTGTTAGTTCTATCCTTTCCTGCTTGTTTTGAAGAAACCCTACTCAGTTTTTCTTGAACAAAAGTCAGTAGTAAGCAACATCCTTCCTCAAATTATCTTCATGATAAAAACCAATGTTTCATGCTTTCTGAATGAAACAGTTTAGAGCAACAATTCCTTCTCTGTTATCTTCTGTAATAACAATATCATCCCATATAATGCTTGCAGAATTCTCTTAGATATAGTATTTATAGTTTAGGGTTTCATGGGATCTTAGTGTCACTTGTATTTAGTTTCCCTATTTAGGTTGCATTCTGTATATAAATGAAAGTTTAACCTCACAATGAAGTACAATAAATATATACCAGATCTGATGCTTACAGACTTCTGATCCTGTCAATGGTTATATATATAATCTGAACCTCCTACTTTAGGTTAGATATATTCCATAGACAGGTACCATGCTGATTAAGAAATATAACAATTGACAAGGTACTAAATATTAAAAGGGTAACACCCTTGTCAACATTTGACAATGGAAAACAGCAATAACACTTACCTTGAATAGAAACTCAAGGCAATCATAGCTCATCTAGTCCCTGATACATACATAGATACACCCTTGTCAACAAATTCATTACCTTTTTCTCATTCCTTACTTGCACCAGCTTTTTTAAGCTTATACTTAATACTTTGGCTTAATCATAACATCATGTTATACAGACCACATACGATACTTGTTCATACTTATGCCATTATAATGATACCATCTTAAAATAATCTTGGATATTTCAAAATTTGTCATCACCTGTAGCTTGGTAACTGTATATATGATACAGTCTTTATTTATCAAACCTTTAACTTAAGCATACTTCTCACATTGACTACTTCTTTTACATATATTGTCTTGTTATAATAACACACAAGGGTTTGACATCTCATCACCAATTGTCCAATTCACACTGTTCCATATCATATACTTTCTTTCTTTACACATACATACATGATCAGATATACATGTCTATTTTTAATCTTGATTTAAACATCCAATTGATGTTTTCAAGACGAACAATTTTATTGACTTGGCACAATTTAAGTCCTTTTACGCATATTTTACAACTCTCCAATTCATAACTTATACATTTATTTATACCATTGACAATCGAATCATGCTTACATAACTTAAACAAGTTCTTTATCATCATAAAATTTGAGGATGTTACAAAAGGTCATGGTTGAACAAGACCAAGACATTCATGGAGATGGAACTATTATTTAAAAAGATAATTCTGCACAAATATTATGCCTGAATAGCAATTGATGATGTTGATGAAACAGGGCTGATTATAATCCTGATCAGTATTTATGGGAGAAAGACTTCACTCTTGCTGGAAGGAAATACAAAAGACAAGACCTTGAGGCAAGTATGGACATATGCATATATATATATATATATATATATATATATATATATATATATATATCCACAACTTACTTAGTAGTTACATTATATTAATTATTGGGATTTAAGTTTAGCAAAATTGCCATAAACTTTCTGAATAGCAAAATTGCCATAAACTTTCTGAATCATATTATTATTTATTTCAGCTCAGAAATGGTAGAGGGCATATATTAAGGTGTAGCCATTACCTGCCTTCACCCTTCCCAGATAATACTTCTCTTCCTTGTGTCATATACTGCCATGGAAACAGGTTTTTCTCTTTCAATTTAATTAAATGTTTTTCGTTAAATGTATATAAGAAAGAAACTTATCTGTTATCTGTGGGACCCACTTGTGTAGTGGATGCAGGGCGGATGCAAATGAGGCTGCTGTGATTCTTCTACCATCAAATATTACTGTTTTCACTCTTGATTTTTCGGGTTCAGGGTTATCTGATGGTAATTATGTCAGCCTTGGTTGGCATGAGGTATACACTCTCCATTCTTGTATTTATTTCTTTACCTATATTCTCTATTTTTTTTCTATATAAATATATGTGTTTATAAATTTAATTTCAGAGTGATGACTTGAAGGTTGTTGTGTCGTATCTAAGAAGCAATGAACAAATATCTCGTATTGGTCTATGGGGACGCTCTATGGGTGCAGTTACCAGGTACTCTTTAATCTTTATTATTATTGTCTTGTTGAAAATCTTTAAGAGTAAGTTACCTTTTGGTCCCTAACTGAGTATAGCCTGTTTATTGCAAGTTGGTTCACTTGCAAATTTGGTCCTTATTTTCAAGTTGCCAAAAAGTTTTGGACCCTGTGTTGTTCAAGTTGACAGCCTAGGTGTTAAATTTACTTAAATGCCCATTTTGCCTTTGGATCAAACTGAATTTTTTTGTGTAATAATTTATGATGCAGCTTACTGTATGGAGCTGAGGACCCTTCTATAGCTGGAATGGTGTTGGATAGTGCTTTTTCTAATTTATTTAATCTGATGATGGAACTTGTTGATGTGTACAAAATTCGGCTTCCTAAATTCACAGTAGGCTAATGTTTCTTGTGCATATGAATGTGATTATTGTTTTTAATAATCATATATGATATATAGTTATAGTTAATAGTATATAATTAAAATTAAATTTGTTGACAGGTGAAAGTTGCTCTGCAATACATGCGTAGAGTGATTCAGAAGAAGGCAAAATTTGATATTATGGATATAAATGCATTGAAGGTTGCACCAAAAACATTTATTCCTGCTTTATTTGGACATGCAAAAGGGGACAAGTTTATACAACCCCACCACTCCGACCTCATTTCTAACTCCTATGCAGTATGAACATATCCTTCAATATCTATCTTTCATTTTAGTTATTAAAAAAAAAGTAAAATTTTTGACATATGATGTACATTTTAGGGAGATAAAAATGTGATAAAGTTTGATGGGGATCACAACTCATCTAGGCCACAGTTTTACTATGACTCGGTCTCCATATTCTTTCACAATGTTCTTCACCCTCCTCAGTTATCACCTTCATGTTCAACAAAATATGAGAAGTATTATGATCTGGGAGATCTTCAAGTTGATGCTGCTGGTATAGAAGAGGTAAATAACTTTTTATTTCTCTTGTTTATGATATAATAAACATTTGTTGTGTTGTGACTTGTGATCAGAGTTTGTTGTATGAGATAATCGGGGGGAAAGGGCAAGGTTTGGGTATGGAGAGCGGCAGTGCAAGCACTTCATCTGCCCCACCTACCATTTTAACCACGGATTCGGTTGAGGATTATCTTCATGGAACTGGAATTATGCCCCCGCTTTTTAAAGTAACTCATGACGACTCTTCTTTAACTTTTAAAATCATTCATTTTGTAAAAAATTGTAATAATTTGTTGTTATCCTCATGTCATGTGATGTGTGCAGAAGGTGAACGATGTAAATACGGAAGCAGCACAACCACAATTGCAGGAGTCTTGTTCATATACAAGCTCAAATAGAGAGAGCTGGGGAAGATGCTCCTCTTTGGGGAGTGATGTTGAACCTTTTCCAGATTGCTCAACATCATCCAACGACAATCACCTGGTTGCTTCTCCCTCTCTCTCTCTCTCTCTCTCTCTCTCTTTCTCACACACACACACACACACACATAGAAACATGTTTTTGATGATATATATATATATATATATATATATATATATATATATATATATATATATATAATTGTTGAATTGTTGTAGGTAAGGTTGAAGGTGCTTGCAACACCACTTCGAACGACGAGTAAACATAAAAATGCAGCTGCAGCTGAAGCTGAAGAAAAGAAGAAAGTAGTAAAGAAATCATCTGGACGTGAAAAGCTGGAAAAACTAGAGGCCCTTAGTCAGCGTTTGCGACTCTGTATTTTGAAACGTGTCAGGCATAGGAGGAATCATTCATCTTGAATTTGGTTATACTCTATCATATGTTGTATTCTTTGTAGGTCCCACTCCCCACTCCCTAGTTTTTCTAACTAACATATGTAGTATGTAATATGTAAACATGTAATGTACCATTTGCAAATGTGTATTTCTATTCTTGTGTAACAACCACCAGTCAAAAATGAAGACCAAATTATAAATTAAACCTTTTTTTTTTTTGAAAAAAAAAATGCAGTAGAAGTACAATACAAAAAAGTCCTACTCCAAACATATGAATTCATCATCTCCATTCTTTTTAGAAAAAAAGAAAAAAGAAACCCCTTTGACACACATTAACATTACATGAATCAATCTTAATTGGCCCTACCGACCTAATCTTGTTGATTGTCAATTGATGAAGTACCAAACTGGAAACCTCCTGATTGTTGTTGTTGTTGGTGATGCTGGTATGGTGGCCTGGAGGTGGTGGTGAAGCTGGACTCCAGTATCTGGTGGTTCAGCCCCAAAGCTGTTCCCGGTTTGACTGCTGTATCCATGTTGACTCGTCGCTTCTTCATTGACCTCTCTTGATCCTCTTTTGGGCTCTCACCACCACCACCACCTGATGACTCATCATCAGGTGTTAATGGTTCATCTATGGAAATGCTGTTTGCAGGCTGAGTTTGATTATTATTATCAGATTCTTGTGGGTCTATACCACCAGCAGCAACACCACCAAGTTTCTGTTGCTCTTCGATTATCTTCTTGAGGTACTTCCCTTGGGCTTCTATCCGTAACTGAAGTTGTCTTTGCACCTGTAAATAATGTATCATACACAACCACCACACTTTTACTAATCTTCACTTCACAAGAACCATCAAATAATTTTTAGACAAGAACATATAACCACCTCCAATTGCTCATGCAGTCGCTTTTGGACCTCCATCTGCAGTTTCAGTGCTTCTGTGATTTGCATACCACTGTTTTTACAAACAAAAATATTTAATTCACTACACAAGTGATTGCTGGAATTGAAACAAAACAGGAGAGGAGGAGAATAATACTAACGATGACCCATCCAAACTGGAAACCATATCACCCGATTCCTTCTGGTCAAATGTTTTTCCTACCAATACCAATACCAATACCATATATCATACTCATATTAGTTTCACCAAAATATAATCAGCATCCATGATTGTATCCACTTATCACATTAGTCAACAGCTTGGTTTAACTGGATATATTATATATACCTTCAGAAGAGGAGTCAGGGAGATACTTTGCAAGCCGATATTTCTGTATAAATAACACTTACAGTTACCATTACATACATACACATAGATACATGTCAACAACAAAAAAAACACCATAACAAATGCAAGTATGCAATCATATCTGTATCTGTAAACATTTCCACTTACCTGCAAATGGCTCTTTACATGATAAATTGTTAGACCTTGCACACCCATAACTCTCAGTACACCTTTTGGAGTAGCCCCTGAAAAAAACAAAAAGAAAAGGAAATCAATTAAATTCCTCTCAACAACATACATAACGTTTGGTCTTTCCAAAAATTCTGTACATAGCTAGCTGATAAAGAAAGGCAAGATTTTAAAGAAGATGAAGATGAAAGTGACTCACTATCTGGGCCACCAAGTTGTGCCACAGCATCAACAAAACGTTCATGAAGCTCATGTGTCCAACGAAGTCGTTGCTTAGAGGCTAGACTCTGGCTGCTGCTATTGTTGTTGTTGTTGTTGTTGATACCATTACTTCCATTCACCATGTCCATGATGATGGATAGATAATCAAGACATATTGTGCTCTTCAGACCTACAATTGGACCACAACCACCCTGTAATCAACAACACAACTCACTCATCAAATTCAAAATCACAGTCACACAGAATTTAGATCAAAAAATTCCATCAACTTATTGCATAACTAGGTCATAGTGTTGTACAAGGCTCTCTCTCCATGAAAGAGGGTTAACAATTAGATACATATCAACAACTAACATCTTCCATTCCAACTATCAACTTCAATCCACCTCTAAAACCCTTTCATAACTAAAACTTATCAACCACACAAGTTTCATTTATAAACCAGGCAGAAATGTGTAAAGCTAACAAACAACAATGACAATGCCAAAAACACCTTAAAAACTGGAAATGAAGATCAACAATAGACCACTTGTTGCAATAAAAAGGACTCCTCATCGACCTCTACACCTTCAGAAAATAAAAAAAACGTGTATGATTACGGAAGTGCATCTCCGAAAATCGAGTTCGTATACAAATAACACAATCAGACACTCAGTTAGGGTTGGAGTGCAGTAGACGGAGTTTAGCTAGTTTCGTGAAAATCCACATCGCTTGAAGATATCTAGGTATGCTGCTATTAACGATATAGCTCTACGATTAAAGAAGAAATCAAATGGAGAAGACAATGAAGAACGCGACATACCGGCCTGAGACGTCGACGTCGTAAGGTGTTGTATCGAATCAACGAGATTTCGAAAAAAATTACTGAATCTGAAGGAAATGAACTAACTCAACGAGAAGAAGCAGGTGGTTGTAGATCAGGCCTGTTGCGTCTTCTTCGCCTTCCTCTTTAACTCCTGTAAGAAAGAAAGAAAGTCCACGCACCAATGGTGGTTCATAATCAACTTCACCTGGGTTAAAATGCTTCCATCAATTTTATAATTTATTATATCAATTTGTATAATTGTAATTTGCTGCTGTTTTTATTATTATTCTTACCAAATAAAACCATATTCTTTTGTAAATTTTGTTTCTATTTTAGGCATAAATAAATAGCACTCCCTCTTCCTTTCTCACTTTCTGCTTTTTCTTTATTTCTTTATTTCTTTATTTATTTTTCTCAATTGATTATTTCTTATAGTCTAAAAATTAACTGTGAAAAATAAAACTTATAAATTTAAATGATGATAAAAAGTTTGTGATAAAGAATTTTCTAAATGCAACAATTTATTCATTTATAATTTAACAATATTGAATTATTAAATTAAATGACATGTATTTATAAGATGTTGATGAAATAAAAAAATTTGTCAAATCAAACGCTACTTTGACCAATACAGTGATGTACCCAACAATGTGTTTTAGCTTTGCCCTTTGGTCAAATAGATAGCAAGACTAGGCTAAAAAGTGTAACATTTATAATAGCAACAAAATCATTTATGAATGTTACCCAAAACTCTATTATTGGGGAGGGGGGGGGGGGGGGGGGGGGGGGGGGGGGGGGGGGGGGGGGGGGGGGGGGGGGGGGGGGGGGGGGGGGGGGGGGGGGGGGGGGGGGGGGGGGGGGGGGGGGGGGGGGGGGGGGGGGGGGGGGGGGGGGGGGGGGGGGGGGGGTGGGGGTGTGTACAAATGATATTTAACAAAAAAAACTTATTATATAAAATTTCTCATAAGAGATAAATTGACAAAGTTTATAACTAAATATATTCTCAAACACAAGAAATTTATTTAAGAGCTTTGACCATTGAACTATTATTAAAATAACTACTTGTGATATCTTACCAATGATTTGATATATCATTTAAATCACTAATGTTGGTCATTTTAGTGGTATTGATCCTCTTATGTAATTGGAATTAATATGATTATCGAGGATAAAACCTTTGATTTAATACAAATTAGATGATGCGGAATGTATATTTGTATATAAGACGATTTTAACCCCGAACAAACAAAATGTAAGGTTCATGGGAAGGGCCTTTGTTGGATCCAAGTGACATAACCACTTAAAGTGATATAGAAAACATGTTCAAATGAAAGTAAAGTTAAAGAAATAGACGAGTTTGGGTCTTACCAGGAGGCACAATTCAAGTTGCCTAACAGCCAAAGTTGTTGACAACCAAGCTGCCTAGGCAATTTGGAACCAAGCTGTCTCGACAATCCAAGCAGTTTAGATAGCTTCGAGCGAAGTTGGCTGTTTGAATAATTTTACCAGCAATTCAAGCTGTTTGAATAGTTTTTTTCAAAAAATTTCATCAACCTAATCAAATTTCGAGACAGATGAGTACATGTATACTCATATTTCTCTTATATTTCTTACGATTTTTTTAGAATGACAAATATTTTAGTAAAACAAATCTAGCAAGTAGCTAGATCAAAACAACCAAACAATTACAAAATAATCGACATAAGGTTTTGAAGTCAACCAACTTAGCTAAACGACCTCTTATACCTATTTTGACACCAAAAATACGCTTGAGTGACAATATTATAAAAATAAAAACTTGAATTTAAGAAAAAAGAACTTTGTTCTTAAAAACCCAAAATGTGCCACCATATAACAAGGAAAACCGCCTCCAATAACTCCTTAACAACCTTCCGAATTCAAAGACCTTCAAACCAAGTAAACCAATTCAAATAAAAAAGAAAATAAAACATGAACATCTATAACCTGCCAACACAAAACTCGGTCCATAATGGCCAAAGCAACCAGACACGAGAAAAATAAATGGTTCACCGACTCCACACCATGATCACAAACGGGCAACTCAAAAAAGGAATTTCCAAGCCTATTTAGATAGAAAAATCCAAGTTGGCAACTAATCCCAAGACTCTCTTACATAATCTAACAATCTATATTGCTTTGTGTTTTGTACCAAAAACTTTTCAAAGCTTTGTACCAAAAACAAAAGAGAGTCCTAATGTATTGTCCCACATTGAATGTCTCAGTATCACATACATAGCAAAAAAATATCAACACCAAAAATGACCATACACAACCTATGTGATGTCCAAATTCTTATCTACCAAACCCATGTTATTGAATCCTATTTTCTAACAATTATATTGATATCTATGTTGGTAACTAAGACCGAATTTATCAAAGATTTGACTTCAAAGTTTGTGAAGTTGGAAAAGTTGACACTGATACCTAATGCCGGTAGATAAGATGCACTTTTTATTTAAAAATTTAAAAGTGGTATATGTCTAGTCTACCCCGATGCTAGAAATTATGGAAGCTGAGACACTGCAATATGTAAGGAGGATGAGTATGTGGTAGAAAGATGATTACACATACAAAGGACATATTATAAACGATATATCTAATTCCTTATCCGACATCTACTAAAATGCAAAAAGTACGAAGAAATTGTGAAATTACCTTGAATCAAATATATCTTTGAATATTTTGTTTCTTCATAGAAGTTTTTGGTAAACGATTTTAACAATTACAAGATGATTGACTCAAGGCAGTGAAACAATTTAGTGAAGTCATATGCATTTTGGATCAATTCACACTACAAAAGATGAACATGGATGAATCCATTGTTGTGTCTAGTGTGATTGGTAAATTACCTCCATCTTGAAAAGATACAACCGTACATTGAAACACAAAAAAATAAAAATAAAAATAAAAGTAAAAAATTCTCATTTGTTTAGTGTCATTTGCTCATTGGAGAATTTTTGGAGTACAAGAAAATGACAAAAGTAAAGGTAAAATTGAATTGGATAGACATCTCTTCACATGGTTGAAGAAAAAAAAACAAACTCTAACAATAAAGGAAAATGCAATAAATGGAAGTTTGATGGTCCACACAAATCCAATAAAAAGCAAAAGGATTTGGTGTGTTGGAGATTCAAAAAGTTTGTTTTGTGTTTTGTACCAATATCATATTATATAAGGAAAGCATGAATAATATTGTTACAAAGTTGTTTCAAAATTCATACAACAAATAAGGATGTATACATTCTGCCTTTTCTTCATCCTTATCGTAGTTGTTTTTGTTTATTGGAAAATTTTCATATCGTATGTTTACAAAACTATTTGTAAACATGCAATTTTTGTTTGGTTGAATCGTTAGACGATTTAATAATATTTTAGAAATTGATTTGAAGAATTGTACTTTGTGTGACGTTTTTATAATTACATACCCCTATGGTGATCATTAAAAACATAAGACACCATCAATTTTGTTCATGATAACAATTATGCCACATCTGATCTAAATCATAGTTTTTTTTTGATCTTATGGTCTAGAAAGGGTTCTCAGTTCTCTCTCTCTCTCTCTCTCTCTCTCTCTCTCTCTATCTCTATATATATATATATATATATATATATATATATATATATATATATATATATATATATATATATATATATATATATATATATATAGACACACACACACATCTCACATTAATCTCACATTAGTGGTAGTATGATTGTCATGATATAAAAGGAGAAGGGAGGGATTTAATTTAATAGTGTTTGTCTTTATGACATGTCAATTTAGGCATCTTTCACAAACAGATTCCCCCCTCCCTACTTTTGTCCGTTACCTTCTCTTAATTTTTACTCATCAATATTGTCCAACGGTAATAACTTGATTAGACAGGTTCCTGGTTGACTTGATCAATATACCATACCATCAAGACCCTTAGTTTCATATTAAATCCTCAAACCTTGTTTAAATTTCACATTAAATCCTCCATAAAATAACATACAGACCTCGGTTTCATTTCTGGTAGAATCTTATCTCTTAACATCTCATTAATCTCATCAAAGTTAATGTGAGATCGATCTCCCACAAAAAATACATAATTGCACCCCTTAACATACACCTGACTAAACCCTGGCAATTTACTACTCACTTTACCCTTCATCTCCCTCCTCACTTTAGCAACTTCCTCCCATCTCCCAGATGCAGCAAAAACATTTGCTAATAACACATACCCTCCTGATTCATTTGGTTCAAAATCTATCACCTTTTGTCCTATTTCACTTGCAAGAACATCATCACCATGCAACTTACATGCACCTAATAGTGCTCCTAAAACAGCACCATCTCTCATATCATGAGGCATTTGGTCAACCACTTTCAGAGCCTTGTCTAGTTGACCAGCTCGACCTAAAATATCAACAAGACATGCATAGTGCTCAGATTTTGGTCCCACATTGTAAACATGCATCATTGAGTTAAAGAACCTCTGTCCTTTATCAACAAGACCCGTATGGCTACATGCGGTTAACAGGGCTAAGAATGTAATTTCATCCGGCTGAAACCCTAATCGCAGCATTCTTCCAAAGATGTGTATAGCATGTGGACCAAATCCGTGAGTTGAATATGCTAACATCATTGCTGTCCATGAGACTATGTCCTTTGTGTGAAAAGTATCAAAAGCAAGTTTAGCAGATTCAAGATCTCCACATTTGGCATACATTGTGATGAGAGAATTAGCAAGTGAGATCTCCTGTTCAAGCCCTAATCGTATTGCAAGTGAATGAGTTTGTGATAAGTCAACACAATCCTCACATGAAGTCAACACAGAAGTGAGAGTACACTCATTTGGCCTAATGTGAGAATGAAGTAGAAAGATTAGATGCTTGAAGGACTCGCCTCTGGGACCTGCTTTAGCATATCCACCAATGATTGCATTCCAGCTCACAACATTCCTTTCAGGCATTGTATGGAAAAGCTCATTGGCTTCAGTCATCAGGCCTTCATTTGTATAAGCAGTTATCATTGCATTCCATGCAGCTATGTCTTTTCTTGGCATCTGATTGAAGTATTGTCTAGCAAGCCTTGTAGAGCTATTTTGTGCCAAGCCTGTCACCATTGTAGTCCAAGAAACATGATTTCTTTTAGGCATGGAAGTGAATAAGTCAATAGCTTCTTTAGTTCTGTTGTCATTGAAACAACCTTGAATCATTATGTTCCATGAGTAAAGGTTACGCTGTGGCATGGAGTTAAAAAGTTTAAGTGCCTCATCAGTTTGGAGATTATCAATGTATACCTTGATCATGGCAGTCCACACAACCACATTTTTGTTGGGGGTTTGATCAAAAACAGCCCGAGCTTGATCAATCAAACCATTATGAGCATAACCTAAGATCACCGAGGTCCAGGACACCACGTTTTTACCAGGCATTTCATCGAACAGCTTCTGTCCCTCACTGACAAGTCCATTTCTAAAAAGCCCAGATATCAAACTGGTCCATGAGTAGACGTTCCTGCGGGGCATTTGATCAAAGATTCTCCAAGCGTCGTCCATGCGGCCAGCTTTGGTGTAAGCATCAATCATTGCAGAATCAGCGACAATATTTCTCTCTGGAATTGTATGGAATAGAGCTTCGGCGCTGAAGAGATCGTTGTTCTTTATGTAGACGGTGATCATAGAAGCGTAGGAAACAATGTCTCGTTGAGGCATTTCATCAAACAGTTTTCTAGCATCATGGACTTTCCCAAGGCGACCTAACTCAGTTAATCTGATATTGTAATCGTACAAAGTATTCGGAAATGCTTTGGGCTTGTAATAACCAGCGTCGGGTGAACGAAATGGATATGGAGGGTTAGATTTGCAGGAGTGTAGCTGGATGCAAAAGGTGCGGCGTCTGTGAGAAGAAAAGATAAACGGATAGCCAGATAAAGAGACCGTCCACCTCCATTTCCACCGGATTAACTTGGCGCCAACATTCATATTCATAAACCACGCCGCCGCCGCACTATTGCGTCTTTACGACGGAGTGTGTCGTTTTCAGGGGCCAATTCATTTGAACATCGGTGAAGTGATTTGTGAGTTGGTAGTTAAACAATGTGACGATTCTAAAATTTCTTATTGAGAAAACTAGAAAAATGATTCCTGTGCTGTTTCCTTTGGTTCTAATCCAACAGGTTTTTGTTTTAGGGATCCTTTTGTCAAGGTTTGATTGTTGGTTTTGGTTTATCCTCTTTTTTATTGTTTTTATTAGAATATTACACTAGATTATAACCCGCGTTAAACGCGGGGGAATGCATGAAAAACACACAAATCTTGAGGTTAGATGCGAATGATCGAAGGTTGAAGTTTGAAGTTTTAGGATTTTCGATATTGGGTTGATGATAGAAGGATTGTGATGGACGGAATTCGATAGTGAAGGTTAGATGTGAATGTTTGGTGTTGCCTTGGATAACGAATTGATTTTGGGATTTCATATGCGAAAGTTTGTGGCTGTGATACGAAAGAAGTTGGACGAGAAGAATTCAAGTCGAAAGATTAGGAAGGAAAGGCTGATAACGAAAGTTAAGTTTCGAGTCGAATGGTTGATATTTTGACTGCTACTGCATTCGAATTTGGATCCAAAGAGGAAAGAAGAAAAGCGAAAGTCTAAGGACTGAGAACAAGTGGTCGAAAACCAATTTTCGTATGGGAAGAGGCTTAAAGTTTAATACGAAAGTTGATTGTCGCATATGAAGCTGGTTCGCATTGTGGTTCCATGGACGAAGGCAGATAACGAAAATTGATTTTCGTATGCGAAGTCATTTGAGGATGAATTTCATATGGGAAGTTTAGCTTTCGATGGGAAGTATATGATTCATATGGGAATCCATAGATTTCAAGTCGAAAGTTTGGGAGATTTTCGAGTCGAAAGGTTGTTGTTTGATATCGTACTAGGTTTGACTTTTGCAACTGGAATTGGGGAAGAGGCAACAAATTTACATTTTTGGTCCATGCTGTTTCAAAATTATGACACTTTTTACCCAGAATCCTAAATCTTTTCAAATTTGGAGATTTATTTTGGGATTTCAAAGAGTGTTATTTTTGCAAAAGAGACATGTGACAATAATAATGTCAGCAATTTGATCTAAGGGTGTAAACCTATGGTTGTTTAAAATGAAGTCATAAGGCATCTATTTTAATATATATTAGAGATTAGATATCACTATAATAAAATTCAATAACACAAATAATAAATACTTGCATGGGTACTTCCATTCATGTGTCTCTTAAAGCACAGTAATTTACTTTATTTATTTGAAAAATAAAAACTTGCATTAGCACTTTCTTGCATTGCATTAGTACTTTATAATCAATGTAAACTATTTACTTTAATTAGATTGAAACGTAAATTATTTACTTTAATTAGATTGAAACAAAAGGTTTATCAATGAGATGCAGATAAAATACACCAAATTTTCAATAGTGATAGCTAATAGGGATAGAAACAACAAAAATAGTGAAGAAAAATCACACCTGCATAATTGGAGCTCTTGTTTTATTCAGTCTGGGAAAAAGCTACTTAAACCCACTAAAAGATTACAAATATTCCAAGCATCATTTTTCCCAGGCATACTAAAACCCACGAAACAATCAATATTTCAAGCATCGAGTTGTAACAGCTGAGGATTTGATGGTGTTTTATGTAATAGTGCTTAAGGCAAGAATGTTGTTAACAATGACCATTATAAGAACAATGAAATTGTTCTACTTACAGCAACCACTATAGGTATTAAGGTTATTTTTGATTGATTACCTGCTGCAAAAGACACAAAAAAGAAATAGTTACAATATTAAGTCAAAGTTTACAGGCTTTTTGAATGAAACAATGAGTGTTAAAAATGTTTTTTAAAAATTTTAGTTTTCATTCAATACTTACATTCTGTACTTGAGAGAAAGACTTTTTACCCATGTAATACCCCACCCTCTTCAAATGCATCCAGTTGTATGATTCTAAAACCGATTTAAAGCTTGTTTAGTTATATTTCTAACCATTTATTTCATCAATGCAATAAAACTTTGAGAAACACGAATAACATATTAACAATATAACTCACTTCGAGATTTGAGAAATTCCACTTGTATTCAGAAAGCAAATCAAGTTGGACCCACTGTCAAGAAAATGTAAAATCCAATGAGTAGCCAACACAATCCCAATGTAAAGAAGCTAATGAGATTTAACATAAATATACATCTGTTCCCAACAGGAAAACCTGATTCCACAAGTCCTCCTTCAAAAACAATATGTAATAACACACTGGAGCTAAAGTTAGATACAAACATTACGTTTTGACATAGCATCCTCCTGTATTTCTTCCCATTACATCATATTTATGTTTTAAAGTCTAATGTTGTAACGGGAATAAATGAAATTCATATGATATAGTAAAAAAATAATGAAATTAATTTCCTCAACTTACTTTCATTTCTTTCTAATATGCTGCATCTAACTGCCATACACACACATACACGTATACCACCTGTGATACGTACACACATTAACAAAACACACTGCACATGTTAAATACAAAAAGACAAAGACCAAAAAAATGTGATATTGGCGATAGTATCCAAAAAAATGTGATATTGGCGATAGTAAAGGAGATATACTGGAAAAATATGAGATCTTAACAGTGAAAACAAACCCTTAATTATTTGCAAATTCGTCCATTAAATCGAAAAAAAAACACCACTCTTCCATTAAATAAAAAAAAACATCACTCTGTATTAACAGTTAAGTATCATAAATCTTTAGTTTTACTCAATTGAAGCATATCTGTCCATCTTTTTCCAGTTCCACAACTTAATAAAAATTTCTCATTTGGAAACATTTGTTTAAGTTCCTTTAATCTTGAGGGCTTAATTGCCTTATGCAAACCACCACCCACTTTCACATTTCCAGCATCTTTTATTAACCTCCATGGAAACAACAGATCTTCTTTGTACCTCAGGTCTACAGGGCTCGAAACATTTCCTGTCTAAAATCATAAATTTCATCCTTTTACGTTACTCAAATTTGCATATTTCATCCCTAAATGAAACTTTTCACTTGTTAAGGTTTTGGTCCATAACGGATATAGAATGTGACAAATATACCCTTATCTGGTTTTTTTGACTTTTTATTATTTGTTAACCCATGCCCAAACTCCCTCCTAAAAAATTTAGAGTACATTACATTTTTTATCCCGAGTATAGCTGGGTTTTTTTTTCAATTTTTGTCCCAAAATGTTTACTTTTGCTATTTTGGTCCTTATTTGATGTTTTCCTAACGTTTTTGGTCCGCAATCTAATTAAAATGACGATATTTTTGGGACCAAATTTGGATAAAATCAGCTATGTTCAGGGACTAAAAGAGTCATTTTACTTGGAACCTGAACCAAAAACGTTACAAGACCAAAATTGCAAAAAATAAGCTATACACAGGGACAACAAATGTAATTTACTCTACGTTTTAATAAGAAATTTATAAAACATTAGCAAAATAGACAGGACAAAAATGTAAATAATGATAAGAATTTTTAGCATTTGTTTATGAACCTTAATGAAATCTTCTATAATCATTGCAGTTGTTTTGTGGATTTAATGTGTTAACAGGAGCAACTCGCAGTTCCTCAGATACACTGTATACATGTATTACAGAAAGAAGAGACCCAACAACCATCTGCACAAAACAAAAAGAACTGAAATTAGATTTGTTTCCCATATATAATAAAGGGGCAATAATGTAAATTCAAAATTTTACATGTACCTTTCCTTGCATAGATGAACAAACTGTTGAAACCAACTGGATCCCGGCACCTAACCTGAGCACATTAAACACGGTTGAGATGGCTTCTCCTTTTGCAAATAAGTCACTAAGATTTCCTTCTTTTGCAAATGAAGAATAAATTGGTAATCTTGTTGCTCTTGCAGCTACCACAGCCATTCCCTGTTCAATAATGACAACCAAGTTTTTAAAATTGGTCAATTTGTGTTATTATATAATTATTGAATATTGATATTGATTCACCACCAACTAACCTTTGCAAAATTCCCAAGCCCAGCTGTTTCAAGAAACAGTTGAGGGCATAATGGGGAAACGATTTCGAGACCAGTGCCCAAGTCGTATAGCACATCAGCTACATATTAAAAAGAGGTTCTTGAAGTTGAATATTTCATAGTCATATAGAAGAACAAAGAACAAAAATAATGGTACAAACTACAAACCCAATATTCTTCACCGTTTGGGTTCTGCATCCATGAGTGCACCTAAATTGCTACATATTAGTTTTCCCATATGCTGCATTCCATCTTTTAGTACCTGTTTGACATCAAGAATGTGAGGTTAAGTTCTTTTAGTATTGGTATGATCAAATTCTTGAGATGAAAGTTGTTTCTCACCCAACTAACTGCAGTTGCTTGTGCAGGGGTAGGTCTCAAGCCTGCAGCATATAGCAGTGACTGCAAAGGGGTAAGATTAAGTATTGCTATTTGCTACAATGGAATGAATCACGTAAAAATGGAATTTAAGAAACCGAGTGTATTGGAAGAGGACCTGAGTTGATAAAACGGATAGTGTTGCACTTGAGAAGTGTTGTAATGCCCGAAATTGAGTATATCTAAGGTATCCTTCGTTGACGCTGGAGTAGGAAGCGATGGTGGAATTTACATGATATGAGAAATGAAACTTTTCAACAAATTTTATGTGAAATTAAGTTCCATCAACTCACCTATATGGAAAACCAGAGGGGAAGAATTTGTTGACGAAAGATTCAGCCATTTTGTGGACAACTGGTCTTGATCGTCAAGCACCTTCACCTAAATATAAATATCCCACAAGATTCAATTTTCATGATGTTAAGCGTTATGAAAAAGTTTAGATTCTGCGATAAACAACAGACGATACATTTATTAGAACTGTAAATTATGGCACTTTGAATACCCTAATTGTAAAAATTTGATTAGCGTTATCGTATGCTGAATACTTACGGAGAATTGGCCGTCTGGTTGAAAGAAGAAGTGGCGGGAGACGGTGTCGGAGGTCTCAATCCAAGATATAGACACACCAACGTCTTCCGACAACGGAGTTTGCGCCATGGTCTTCTGCATTTCATCTTTTCCAGTCCCCAAGGGGCAATGGTTGTTGATCGCACATGATTTGAGTAAACAGACATCAATTCACCTCGATTGAAGCATCACGTCAAATTGCAATTCAAAACTTGCTCGCCAGTTACCCTAGAACGTAGAACATATGCTATCTCCTTTATTTCCTTAGTGAATAGCCTCTTTAATATCAAAACACCTTGGCATAATTCCACCATTTTTTTGCTTTGAGAAAGGAAAGCAGATAGATAGAGTCGATGTTAAGAGAGAGATTGATTTATACAGAGAAGGGATCTTCGAAACAATACCTATAAGGATGTTTTTAGTCCCGATCACTTATGTAGGTAGCGGTGATACAGTCAATCCAATATCTTCTCAGCATCGATGGTAGTGGTGCGGTCGCTCGGTTTAGAGAGAAGAGGAGATGTACTGGTGGAGCCAAATTTAGGGTTAAGAGTTCTATGATGTTAGGTTAAGAATGAAATCCGATTTTGGAAACTTTGAAAATCATTAACGAGACGTGTATTCTTAAAAGGGTATGGGTGATGATGTAGCAATTTGATCTAACGGTGGAAAACCTATAAAGGAAATACAATCAAGGGCTTTGATTGTTTAAGATGATAGTCATAAGGTTTCTCTTTTAATAATATTTAGAGATTTATTAAATAAAAAATAGAAAATTTTGGCAAGTCCTTTTAGAATTTTCAAGATTTAAACAAATATTAAAGATTTTTAAGCAATAACCACCGATTTCGAGGTCAAAAATGTGAAATTAGCTCTAAGGTTGCGCACCCGTAAAATTCTTTTTCGTAGGTCACATGTAACGATCCGAATTTTCTAACATCTAATCTATAATTATGAAATTCTACTCTAATTAAAACACTTAAATTCCAAGGACAATCACATGTTTATAATAAAATCTTATATACAAATTGGAACAACAAAAGAATACAATAAATAGTAACCTATTATTTAAGTCTTGTCCTTGTGTTCCCGTCTTCTCCTTTGGTACCACGGTTGCTGCTACCTGAACCTGCAAAACATAAAATCTCTGCAAAATCAACACAATCTATCTGGTGAGTTATTCTTCTATTTTTTCTTATATTTCTCTTCCTTATCTTTCTCATACTCTTTCTCTAGTAACATGCCCTGCTATTATTTCTTTTTTCATCTATCTTTTTTTTTTTGTCTTTCTTCTCTAATTTGTCTTCCTACTTTTACTCATCTCCTCTGTCTCTTTCTCTGTCATCTACTTTGTTTCTCATACTCTTCTCTTAGCCTAGTCTTAGGCTCTTCTCATACTCCATTCATACTCTATATATGTATCTAACTTTGTTTCTTCTTTACCATGTCTCTTCTCTGCTCTACCTATTCTATGCTCTTTCTCTTCTCTATCCCCAGTTCTAATGCATCAACATTCTGTTCTCATTTAGACCCAACGGTCACATCTCATATTTTATCATCTATATCTTCTAAGGGAAACAACATCCCACTACATTATCAGGTATTCTCATTCGGTCATACTTCTCTTTCTTATGATCCCTCGTGGATCCTTAATCTTTCTTCCTCTCTTGAATCTTATCATGGATTCATTACTCTTAATCCTTCACGGATTATCTATAAGTTCTTATAAAGAACTATATTATCTTGTTCCTCTCAAGGAACCTTTCGCTATCTTCTATAGCCATATACAATCTGGATTCCCGCAGGAGTCATCTATCTAAATTCCCAGAGGGAATCATCACCTCTTTACCCGTAGGGACATACTCTCATTCCCGAAGGAAATCTCCATCTCTTGTCCCCGAAGGAACCATACATTTATTCCTGAAAGGATCATACTCTTTGTCCCCATAGGAACCTCTATCTGTTGTCCCCGAAGAAACCTCTATCTCTTGTCCCTGAAGAAACCTTTATATTTACCTCTTTATCTTTGTTATGTGACTAATCACATAACACTTGTCCCATGGATAATTTATATCTTTATCTCATCAAGATATCATCTAATATTTCTTTTCTAGTACTTAATTCATTAAGTACCTTATCCCTATCTATGTTTAATAACATATATGTATTCTACACAATACCAATACTGTCTAGACATACATTCTTACTCTTATGATTATACTACATATAATCATCTTTTGTTACTTTCTACTATCTCTTGGGTATTAACAAATACCCTTCTCATCTCCAATCATGCATATGATTATATTTCATATAATCTTATTCTTCCTTTATCTACTCTTATGGATATTACTCATAATACCCATATCCCTTCCTTGTACATATACACATGCTCTGGTTATACATACATGATCATGTACATGGTCTTACATGTATAACTACAAGCACTTAATCTCACATATGGTTATAATCTATATAAGCCTATCTTTCATTTCTCCTTTTCATGCTCATATACATGACTCTAACATACATAAACATATATACATATATACATAAAGTGTATAAAATAACTTAGCGAGATAAAGAGAGAGTAATAACTCACCTTATCAGTTAGTGAAGATTAACTATCCCATTTTCCTCTACTCTACCATTGATGCATTTTGGATCCATCTTCTTTGCTCTTAAGCATGTTTATAAACATGCACAAGTATCTTAATACTTGTCGTAGTCTATTAAGAGCTTTTGACTCTCTAAGTCAAAATAACCACTTAATGGATCATAGTTATATATTTTCATTCTCTACATCTTAATTCCTATCAATTAATGAATTAGGCATCCTATACTACCTAAGTCATCCCAATATAACATCTAATGCATCAATTAACCATAATCACTAGTTAGGGTTTCAGACCTTAACTCTTATTGGATTGATTCCACTCATGGGGATTACATACAAAGCTTGTTTAAGGCATCTAACACTTTCATTAACACTACTAACAAACATTTTTTTTAACATAATCTAACTCTATTAGCTCAAATCATCAAGAATACCATTTAGCCGTAATTAGCTTAAAAATGGTTAAATTGATTACCTCATGAGCTCTTAATCTCCAATCCAAGCCTCAAACACCCTAAACCGCCTCTTGTTCATATCCATTCCTCAGAATCACCATAGCTTAGCTCCAAAGAGTTTTTTTTTTTTGGGGGGGGGGGGGGTGGAGTGTCACAACCCGAAATTTCTATCTTGAAAAGTCAAACACATCAACTGAAGGTCAAACTTATAGGTTTCTAGACCTAGTATACGTAAGGGTTGTTTGTTAGGAAGTGAACCACCTAAGAACCGAGAGCCAAGAACTTCTTTCGAGCCATAAACCTCAACAAGTGAGGTTCACGACCGTGAACCCTCCTTAGGCCGTGAACACCATGCATATATATGGGTTTGGTTCATTTTCCTTCACTTCTTCTTCTCTTGGCCGCAAACATCCCATTCTCTCTCAAGTATCATATATCAAGAACACCAATTTCACTCTTAAACATCCCTTTTCTTTGTATCTCCTTAGAATACAACTTAGGATCTTCAAACACTTGCCAAACAACAAGATCTTCAAGTGTTCTTCCCTGAAGTTGGGCCGTGAACCACTCATAAGGGACGTGAACCATCATAGGGCTGTGAACCACTCATAAGGGTCGTGAACCATCATAGGGCCGTTGACCCTTCATGAGGCCGTGAACCCTTCTAGCTTGGCCGTGAACTCCCTTTTAGCCTCCTAACTTGCTTCTAACACTCCTTTGGTGAGTTATTCTTGCATCCTAGGTTGTTTCCTAATCGCATTTGTAGTTAGATTCACTAATTTCATGCCTATATGTATCATTACATGCTATTTAGGACTCATTTGTGTAACACTAGTCAAAATAGGTCAATAGACAATCATATGTGATTATGCCAATCATGTAATGTGATTTTGTTAAACTAGTAATGTGATAAGAGTGCTATGTAGTTCATGATAAATTCTAATACAAATATGAACTTTATTTATGATACAACTCAAAGTATACGTCCATACGATTCCAAAATATAGAGAATGTCTGAATCTGACTTCGCATGAAGAAGTTATGATAAACCGAACACTATAAATCTCTATAATAAGAGGAATTTAAAATAGACTTAGAATTAGCTATTGGAGTCTAAAAGAGAGTTGTAGTACTTGTAAATACCTACGCGTGCATATAAATAACGTCAAAAACGGATTCGTATGGGAAAGTTACGACCTTCCGAAGATTTGTGACACTAGTCAAATTTTGGTCAAAAATAAATTGATCAATAATCGTAATTGGGATGAACCAAGTGGTAGAGTTTGTAACAAGGTTTTCAAAAACATAAAGAACACTGAAATCCGAGTTATAACGAAGAAGTTATGACCAATCAAAAATCCGCGGTAAAACCGGTAAAACACTGTTCAGTGTAAAAAGCGAATTTTCGATAAAAGGATTTTTAGCCTTAACAATCTAAATGAAAGTTGTAGAATATATTAAACCGAGAACGTTCATAAAAAAGAACGCTAAAATCTGACTTTGTATGAGGAAGTTATGATTTTTCGAAATTTCGGTTTAGCAGTAGACAGCTAAAAATTCGAAATATAAATCGATCGATATTTAGCTGACGCAACTTAAACGAGAATCGAAGGTCTCATCAAAAGTAGCACAACGGTAAAAAGACAGACGAAAACGGACGTCTGATGAAGAAGTTATGAATTTTTAACGGATTTCCCGTCCCGGTCTGTTTAAAATAACAATACTAAAAATAAAGTCAAAATTAGCCGACGAAGTCTAAACGAAAGTCGTAGAGTATGATTTTACCTACGTGTGCATATAAACAACTCCAAAAACGGAGCTCGTATTCGAAAGTTATGATTTTCGCAAGTTTTTTCACAAAAATAAAGAAAAATAGGAAAAACCGGGCAATTTCGCATGCCACGTCACCCTCGCACGTGGCAGCTTCTGAGTGGACCGAAGCCATGCGTGGCACCTCCTGATTCGACCAACTCCGCGGTCCAATCCCACTCGGACAGCCTCGCATGAGACACACCGGACATCACCTCGCACGCTCCTCTGATGCTCCCTTCGCACGTGTCTCCTTTCTACTGGACCGAGGTTCGGTCCAATCCGAGACTGCCACTGCGAGCCTGCTGTCCGAACCCTCGCCTCGTGTACCACCCTTCTGTCCGACGCGTGTGCTGATGACTAAGCTGCTTCGGACCGAGGCCTCGACCTATAAAAGCCATGCGAGACCTCTCGGATTCCACCCTTATTTCACCCCAAAACTTCCCAAAATTCACATTTTAGCCCCGTAAACTTTCTCACGACCCCCGAAGGCCCCGGTACCACGTCTAAAGCCCGAAGCAAGCCCCGGAGCCCCGGAATTCTTGAGAATTCATCCTCTCTCCTGTCGAAACTCTGCCCGGTTTGAGCCGGTTTTCGTCAAACAAACTCTTTTCCGGGAAACGAAACGCTGCCCGAATCACCGCTTATCAAAGTGAGTTCATACCCCTATAATTTACCTTTTCAATGGTTTTTAAATACTTTTTAGGGGGGGAATACAAGTTTA